GAATATTTTCCTTATTTCGAAAAAAAATTCATTAATAATATAAATTATATGGAATATAAAAAGGAAAACTGGATATGAAAGAACTATTTATAGATTCGTGATTTACTTCTGAAAAACAAATATAAATTACTCGTATATTAAAACAAACGATAAAGATATAATTTGTATGTACGATAAGATTGTATATAATTTGCAGGAAGCTCAGTAAAATATCTCATTTTTTCATTGAACATTTCCGTTGTATTTACACGAATTCATTACTAAAGTGAATCCCCACTGTTTTACTCTAGTCATTAGATAAATCATTGTTATAATAAAAAAAACAAACACTTAATGTAAAAAGCATGTATTTTTTTAAACTAATTAATTCAGTTTATTGTATGATTTTCACTATAAAGGGTTTTACAAAAACCGCGACACGTGTTTTGCTATACAATACCTTACTCAAACGAAGTTCAGTTAGATCATTCATGAGATATTGAGAGTTTTTAAATTTGTTTATTGCCATACTCTTCAACAGGTTGAGTTTTAAACCTTTCTTCTGGAAATGTAGAGGCTCTTGAATTCATGGTTGAACCCATGTCCTTCTGTGATTAAATGAGTGGCATATATGGAATTTATTTTTCCATTCTGGAAAATATTCTCGTGTTCCTTTATACGGGTTTTGAACGTTCTTCCAGTTTGACCTATATAAAACATCGGACATGGCCCACATGATAATTTATACACTCTCGATTTTTCTGAAACTGAACTTTTATCTTTGTTATTCTTAATGTGCATGCCTAAGTTGTTGGTTTTGAAAGCAATATTTACACCTTTGCTGTGCAGAAAATCTGAAATATTTGTAGTGGGTTGGCCTAAGTAGGTTAAAGTTCTATAACTTTTATCCGTATCTCTTCGAATTGGGTAAAGTTCCTTCAAAGCTTGGGTGTATAACTTGTTTGATAATAGAGTATGTATTAGACTGGTATCGTAATCATTGTTGACGGAAATTTGTTTTATTATGTTCAGTTCTTCATTGAAATTCGCATCTGACAAGCAATACTGGGAAAAATATTCTTTACATCGAATGAAATCAATTTGACATTATCCGAGTGTATTATCTTGAATTTCATTGATCAAATGGTATGAATTCTTCAAACCGAATGATGATTTGAAATTGGTGTTGTTTTGAATAATTGCGATGAGTTTTTAGATATTTCAACTGAAAGAGCTGTGACATACAATAAACCGTATTAATGAGTTTCAATATAGATTTTCATCAAGTATCGGCCAGTTTTATTCAATTACAACCACTTTTATATGAACACTGAACCCTATTCAGTTCATATTCCAAACGTTCGTTATGGAATTGAATCATATATCATTCACAGGATTCCTACACAATATACTAATTGAAAGAGGTAAAATTTCACCCATTTGGAACACTGTCATCCTCACTGGTGCAAATCCGATGTTTCGGAATGAGACACTTCACTTCAGTACCAAATCTGGATAACATTGTAAGAAAAAACCCTCAATTCATTCATAAAATTACGACTTTATGTCACGAATGTGTTAAATCCACCGATGACAGTACGTAATGAGACATTCATTCACTTATTCGATTAAATCCCAGCCATAGGAATATTGTATGAATTGAAATAGAGTTAATTTTTCGAAATTGATTACTTTCTTTCTTTTTTTGGAAGATTCCCACATTTTGTTCGTATAAAGATGGTGAAGTAGAAAGTCAAATACTTTCTTTCTCAATTTTTTTTTTAATATACCCTTAAATCGCCCGATATAAGACTGAATCAAAGAACTGACCATCCTCTATAAACTCTTTTTTTTTAAATGATCCTTCAAGAGGAACCAAAGAACTTGAAAATGGAATAAAAACGTTTTTATTTTTAGTCTTGAGGTGTGAGTGGTGAAGAAAAGTGGTCAAGAAAATCAATTTTTCGTAGCAAATTAAACATTCGCACAGAAAAAATTCTTCTTCCTCGTAACATTTGCTATCAAACTTTTTATTTAAATAAAAATCGCAGACTAGTGATCAGTATTGATTAGTATAGTTTTGAAAACTAGTTTTCAATACTAGAGAATAACCTAACTATCACTTCATGTTTTTATAATTCCATACTCCTCATTTTTCAATTCTAAATATACTAAACTGATTTCCTGTTGACGCCAACTAATTTCATCAGTTTGTGATTTTTTCGATCTATATTGTATATTCCACAACTGGAAGACGATTCACGAATCATCCAGGAAAAAAGGGATTCAGGACATGAAATGCTGTTTTCGAGGATGGCAGCAGTCCAAGTTTAAAAATAATTTCACTCGAGAAATATTTTAAAAAAGGTATCGTAAATATAATTACCACTCACCTGTCACTGCCGAGAGGTACAAAAAAGTTGTTCTGCCTCTTTCAATTTTATCTGAAGTTTCTATTTCAATTTTTCCTAGAATGTTATGCTTGCCGGCTTCTATCTCATTTTTGTTCAAAAACTCGTCGGTTTCCTTTTCCATACTCTTCAACTATGATTAACAGATTTTCAAAATAACTTGAATCAGGAGAAAGATTACCCGCCAAACGTAGGTATTAATATCACATTCTATTAATGATATTACTAAATCACCTCGCACATGTCACTTCCGCGGTGAACGATACATTACTGATTATACAAAAAAATAACGACACAATCAAATAGCTCGAACTATATTGCCAAGTTCAAGTTAGGCTAACTGAAAATTCATGACGCGCATAATTTTATTGGCTCGCTCAACTTTCTTGTACAAGCGGTTCTGTCCTGAATGAATTCAGATATTAGCAACGTGTGTCGTATTGTTGTGTTTCCACCACCAATTCGCAAGATTGTGCAGATTGTGTGATTTATATCCACACGAGAATCTCATTCAGATCCGTATTGATTTTACTTTGGGACTCTTTTATGAACACACCGTTAATTTTTACACTCTAGCTCCGCGATCAGCAACAGGCGGACCGCGGAAGGTTGACCTGTGGACCGCCCCAAATATTGTATTATTTACCAAGGAATATAAAAATGCGTGTGCCTTATACGCAATAAAATTATCGCTATTGTTAAAAATGGAAATCTGAAGCGACAGTACGAAACAACTCATCAGCAATTCCACAAAAACTTTCCTCTTAGCAGTCATGCTCGTAAAAGAAATTCAGACATATCTCAGTTCTTGATGAATCATGTGAGATTGTTGATGATGAACAAATATCAATTTTCGTAGAGTTTTTTTGACGTTGAGTGTCAGATTTTTAGGGAAGAGTTGCTAGCAATATTGCCATTGAAAGGTAACACTCGAGGAGAAGACTTATTCAAGGCCATTGATGATTTTATTACGAAATATAACATCAGCTATAATAAAATGGTTTCGCTTTCAACTGACGGGGTCCCAGCAATGATTGGCAAAAAAAAGGTGTAGTAAAGAGAATCAGAGATAAAAATTCAGGTGTAATAACGTATCAGTGCATAATTCACCAGGCAGCCCTTTGTGGAAAACTTAGTGCTATACAGGGTGATTCAAAAGTACTTTGACAAACTTCAGGAGGTGATTCCTCACAATATTCTAATATGAATTGTCCAAATAAATAAATGTCCGGAAACGCTTCGTTTCCAAGATACAGGATGTTAAAGTTTAATTTTTATTTTCGTTTTTTTCAAATAACTTTAGAAATACTGAACTCAATTGAACGAAACTTGGTAACAGGAGGTTTTTAAGGTGTCGAATTCGAACCTGATGTTCTTATTGCTCTTACTCGTAGGGGGCGCCACCTACACGGCTTTTTCTTTTTTAAAGATTCATAACTTTTTTGGGCGTACTTCTAGCACATTTTTCAGTAAAAAAATCGATTCCTCTATCATATCTACGTAAACAAGCTACCCTTGTTACTAGTCGCTGTAAGCAACCGTTTTCTAAATATTTGACTTGAAAACTTCAAGTCGATTATTTGATAATCGATGCATGTTGAAGTTATTACGAATATTTTGCTTTTTTCACAAGAATGCTTTGGAAATGAATTGACGTTTTACTCGTTTGAAGAGGTCATTAATGTTGGGTACGTTCCTTTATGACATTCTTAAGCGAAATAGTTATTTTTGTATCAAGGGTGCATAATCAGAGTGGTGTCAAGAACATCAAAACTATGTTGTAAGTTACATTCGTTCAATAATCACCCGTCAACTTTTTTTTCCCTAAAGCGATCTAAAAAAAAATTATTGCCATTTTTAAAAATATCCCTAAACTTTTCCGATGTGTGTATTAGGTATTGGTCCACCAAACTTATTCATAATATTATTATATTGACTTGTTTCTAATCTCTCATAGGCATCTAGATGCCTGTTGTTGTTAACTTGTCTAAGTGATCTTAATGAACTATAGTCTATGGAGTAGTTTTGTTGCAAAATATGATGGGCGATTGCTGACTTTTCTGGTCTTTCATATTTTGCGTGTGCTAAATTTTTATTATATCTTATTTTAATACATCTTTTTGTCTGTCCATAATATTTTGCATCGCAGTCCCTACTCGCACTATGAGATTGAATAAATAATTTGTCTTCCAAGACTTAAGTTTCATCAAACTTCAGTTTATGATTGCATAAAATGAAAACCAATGAATATAGGATATGAAAGTAAAGCTCACATAAAAAACTATTTTTATTTTTTCAATATTTCCTGAAGTTCCAGTGAAGTTCGACCTTTCGTTTCTGGTATCAAGCAATAAATAAAACACGTGCTCAATGCCATACACACAGAGAAAAACCAAAAGCAATGCGCCATTCCATGTCTTTCAAGCAAAATAGGAAAACCAAGGGTTACTAGGAAAGAAGACATGAAACAAGAAAAAGACCCCAACGAAAAAGCTATCGACATGATATTTGATGGAAAAATCTCACTGGTAACTGTCCAAGGTAAACCACTGAGGCCAAAACTGAAAACAATTATAAAAGATATGAGGGACACGATCGGTAACCAAAAAAGTTTTTCTCCTAGAGTGACATTTCCATCTTGCAAGTGGAAATAAAGTCCAAGTAAAGCCATAGATATTGAAGTTCCCGCTGATGAAATTAAAAGTAGCACTTTTCTGCCCAATTTTTCCACGATAGCAGCCGTGACGATAGTAGCCAGAACTTGAATAAAACCAATAAGAATGGTGGACAAGTTGGTGGGAATACCAGTTCCTGAAGCATCGAATATGGGGTCTAAGAAAGCAATGACTGCATTTATTCCAGAGAATTGTTGAGACATGAGTAATCCTATACTTATAACTAGAGATTTTCTCATGCCTTTGTCTTTGAAAATAAATGAAAGACCTCCGTGTCGTTCATTACCTTCTAATTCTAGTCTTTCAGATATGTTCAGTATCTCGGCTTGAACTTGGGCCTGACTTCTGTTTCGCAACTTTGTCAAGGCCTCCACTGCTTTATCATGACTTCGACTCCTTACAAGAAAAACGGGAGACTCTGGAATAAAGATACCAACAATAACAAGGAATAAAATAACTGGTAGAGCGCAACAGAGAGTAAGAACTTTTACGGACAAGTATGGTCCAATGAGAAACACGTACAAGACTCCCGAAGTAAGGAACACAACCATAAGGGCTCCGACTCTTCCTTTGTTGTGGGTCTCTGATATTTCTGCTAAGTACATAGGAACAACGGCAAAAACACTACCCACCACTAACCCCATGAACAATCTCGTAACATAGAATAACCAGATGTCAGCAGCAAAGGACAAGATCAGTAGACACGCCAACTTTGGTATCGCAAGCGTAAGTAAAGTTCTCTTTCGTCCTAAGACATCAGCCAGTTTTCCAGCAAACAAGGGACCAATTGAAGCTCCCAGGCAATACAAAGACGCAATCCATGATTCTTCTAATGGTGATATTGGTTTAGCCAATGGGTTTATTTCGGGATCGTTGTTCTTCAATAGAGGAACGACTGGAGAAGTCCATCCAAAGCCGCTGCCACAGGCAAATATCAAGACGTTAACTGAAAGAAATATTACAATTAGTTGAAACAATCAATATAATCGACATTCAGAAAGAAATATAATGATATGCCATCAGTAATGTCAATCGAAACACGCAGGGCACTTTACAAGATTAGGCATCTGAAGTTTGAACAGATGTCGCCTCTGTTCGAAAAACATCAACACACTTTAAGTCAAGAAGTGTTGCTAACCACTAAACAGCACTGCTCTGTCAGGATGACGAGATCAGAGGCCGCGTAAAGCGTGGGCGACCACCCACGGCCTCACGGTGCAAAGGGCCTAGCGTCTCAAAACCGATAATAAATTTAAAAAAATATGTTAAATCCAAAAGTACACACCATGAATTTTATACACAATGATAAAGGGCCTAGCGTCTCAAAACCGATAATAAATTTAAAAAAATATGTTAAATCCAAAAGTACACACCATGAATTTTATACGCAATGATTACATTAGAAAATTCTCAACCTAAAGATATTCCACTCTTCGGCATACGAAAGCATATGAATGAAAAATTAGCGAATATATTTCCTTTTCTGATAAATTGATGCATTTTTCCCACTTCAACTATTATTCGAATATCTATCGCCTTACTAGATCCCTTCGCGTACAGCACTGTAACTTCCACTTGACTGTGTCGATATGCTCGTGGTTAGTAATCGTAATCGAATGCGCTAGAAAATTTCGCCGGAATTCCATCGAAATCAGTAGCATTATTCGCGCTGCATCTAGAGCGGCAGCGAACATATTACATTCGCGCTACTCTCAGCATAATTGGTTTATGGCTACCAGTGGCGGCCGGCGATATTTTCTTTAGGGCACGATTTACAACACTATATTTTAATATAAAATTGAGTCATTAAAAATATTATCGTTTTTCGTTTCTAATCATCCGTTTTCATTTAGTCTTGCAACATTACTTAGCGTTAAGCTGCGCGGGGAATCCCCGGTCAGAGACCTCGGGACTTTCCCTTAATAGAAAGCCAATCAAAGTATCGTATGCAGACGCAGTCTTCCTTCACGTTCCTATATTGTAATTTCTAAAAGTATTGATGTGAGAATAAATGATTTTCTTTAAACAGAATTTTTTTACATGATTAAAAATTNTACAAATCATTATTTAATTAAAAATTGTGTCTATCATTTGTTTCATACCTTAGATTTAATGCACTAGAATCCACCTACTTTTTTATGCGTATTATATTGTATTAAACATATATTACGTTAGAAAAATACTAAAGTAGGTAGTATACACATTAATATTATTATGTATGATATTCATCCAATTTTTAAACGAATTAGTCCAATTTTTATGACTTAATTAAACCTACTCAAGGAAAAAAACAAATACATATAAATGTTATTATGTTTTTACAGGTTACGGATACAATTTTGTTGCATACTTCTAAATTCATCAATCATGTCAGGCTCAGGCATTAAGATAGATAGAGGTAAAGGAAGAAAATGGGAATCTAGTTCAGCAAAAATAAAAAGAAAATTGTTGTTTTTTCGATTAAACTAAAATGAGTAAATAGCCGCAGTATCAGTGACTTTGACACAGCGACCTAGCATGATGTTTTATTTTCAATTTTGTTGTTTATTATTCCAAAAAAGTACATAAGTGTTTCTCAATGAATAAAAAAATGTTCAATTTCAAGTGTTTTTTTCATTTTATAAACCCTCCTTCTGCACCATCAGAGGGCCTCGCGGAATGTACATTGCCCACATTAAATTTAAATCTTGCACCGCCACTGGACAAGTTTTTATAATTACTTTTGAACTTGATATTTTTTTTGGTTATTGTACATTGATTTCTTTCAACAGTACTTTTCAACTAAAGAAATATATATCATAATTATTATTAATCAATTCAGTTTATTGTCCCAAGAAACAATATATGCTGATAATTAGCAACTATAACTACGAAGTATAATAAAATAACAGAAATAAGGTATTTCGCAATAAACACATAACATACCTTCAAAAAAATAACAATGAAATGCAGTCGAGTATAAAGCCACTTGATATTTAACTTTTGTAATGGAAGTTTATTTCATGACAATTTCTCATCAATGTATAAACCTGAAAATGTTGTTGTTTCTGTATATTTAATATATATTCCCAATCACAAGCACTCATCTGATCGGATACTGGCACATTTGAAAAGATTGAAAAACAGCAAATAGTCATAAACTCACCTGATATTGCGGAAGTATATAAAAATACACTGTCCTCCTTTGTTTCCTCACATTTCAATTGTTCCAAATCCCACTTCACAACATTCTTATTTACATAAAAGTCTTTTTTGCCTTCGTCGCTTTGATTACTCATTTTCAGTCGCTTCTACAGCTTTTCTGTGTAATCAGTTGTACTGCCATTTTCTCTAATGCAGATACTAGTCTGTAATACGTTATGGATCAAGGAAACGGGCTTTAATTTTTTTAAGAGCTCTCATTCTTGTGGCATGTGAATGTTTCCATTTTAATCGAAAAGAGGATGAGGACTATTATAATAATAAAATAACAACTCGGTTTTGAGCACTAATTGGAAATTACATTTTGGATGTAATTGAAGGTTTGAAAGGTTTAATTTTTGGAATTAGATCAAAGGAAACGTACAGGAAAACATATGACGAATAACGGCCAGGGTATTCTGTGAATTATGTCTTGGCCTTGAATTTCGGAAATGAAAATTTCGCAATATAAAGGTAGCAGAAATTAATGAGAAAAAATTATCACTAAATAACATATTTAAGTACAAACGAGCCTTTATTTACCAGCTCAAAAAATTTTTAAAATTAAATCAAACCCATCGACTCATTATATTACACAATTTATTTGAAATAAGAGTGTTTTCTTTGAGCAGCTTATTTGTCGGTTTATCCAAGATTACAATTTCTCCAAAGTGGGTGGGTCTATTCGACCCTCCACCGCAACCTGCAAGGGTTTATTGTGGCTATTCACACTCGGCCAAGTAACCCCAGCTTCTTAACGAAGCCGATAAGTTTGTATGGATAGTGGTCTTTCAGGTCAGATGGTAAGAGTACGACTCTGCTGAACTCTGAAAACCTGATTCGGTCCCCAACGGGGCAGGCAAAAAGTATGTGCTCTGCTGTTTCATCATTTTCCAAACAGAGGCGACACACTCTGTCTTCCGACAGTCCGAGTCTCTGGATATGATGATTCAAATGACTGTGACCTGTAAGAAGGCCTGTTAGACATCGTAGTTTTTTTTGTACCTTGGGAGCTTATTGCGTTTATTCTCCCATCTTCTCATGACACCCATTCCATCAGTCTCGTTCCCTGTACTAGTTTGTACAGGTTCCGTGTTGGACGTTCGTCATATTCTTCTGGGCGTAATTTTGTAAGTCCAAATATTGCCTGCCTCCTGTGATTCAGTGCCTCACATTCGCATGAGATGTGTAGAGCTGTTTCTATCTCTTCGTTGCATAATCTGCAGCTGAGGTCTCCGTTGTACAGCCCCATTTTATGCAGGTGTCCTCTAAGTGGACAATGACCGGTCAGTAACCCTGTAATTATTCTGAGCCGATCCCTACTATATTGAAGTAGTTCTTCGGTTCTTTTCTCGGACGGTTCCCTAATGAAGGTTCTACTGAGTTTGTTGTCAGGTACTTTTGTACAGTACTCTGTGTGCTTCTTATTGGTCCATGTCCTAATCTGGTTTCGTACCAATGATTTTGGTACCCCCAGAGCTGGTTCAGGACCTATATATGAAGCTGATGATCCACATCTAGCGCATTCATCAGCTTTATCATTAACTGTGATTCCTGAATGCACTGGCACCCAGTACAAAGTTAATTTATTCCTGTTTGCAAGTTCATTCAGTTCTTCAAGGCATTCCCATACCAGTTTTGATGTCACCTTCGGGTTTGTCTCAGAGCCCCTAGTGCACTCTTGCTGTCTGTAAAAATATTGATTCGCTTATTTCTTTGAAGTCTCAATTTAATAAGCCTTGCACACTTCAAGATAGCATACACTGCCGCCTGAAAGACGGATGTGTATAGTCCTAGCGGATAGCTGTAGTTTAAATTTCTATCCGGTCGGTATATTCCAGCTCCCGTTCCTTGTTTGGTATTCGATCCATCTGTATACCAGGTGATTTTTCCAAACATGTTTTCGGGATGACTAATGGTCTTCCACTCTTCACGGCTTATGAATTTGGCCGTGAAGTTTGTGTTAAAGGTGTACTTCGGTGTCATGTGGTCCGTGCACATATTCAATATGTGCTCCTCCACTTGATCCGAAATTTCTGTTCGGTCCGATCTTTTGTAGTTCGGTGAGTTTTCCAGTCTGAATTGACCCATCCTGGCCTCCCACATTATAACAAAGCGTAGATTCAGGAGTGTCTCCAATGCAGCTGTTGGGGTTGTTCTCATTGCTTCCGTCATTCCCAAACATGCTAGTCTTTGCACCTTGCCTAGTTTGTTGATGACGTTCGCCTGCTTCATCTTTGGCCACCAGACCAGAGATGCGTATGTTATCATGGGTTTAACCACCAGACATCGTAGTTCATCGCTACTGTAGTCCAACAACTGTTTGGTATTCACCCTTCGAAGGGTGAATAAACGCCTTGGAGTGAGCCAATCCTGCAAGATTCTGCTAGAAGTTCATGTCCATAAATCTTCTTGCCATCCAGGTGTTCAATATTTGCTTGGCAAAGCCTAAAGCGATGCCAATGACAGGTTCTGGTTCGATGAAGCTGCTTGCAGCACCCTCCTTTGCAAGGGAGTCAGCAGTCTCATTTTCTTTCAGGCCAGTGTAGCCAGAAATCCAGAGCAGAGACGATATGTTAAGTCTTCCTATCGAGGAGAGTCGTTTTTGGCAATTTGCCACCAATTTGGATGTTGCACGGTAGGGGCCAAGAGCTTGCAACGCCGCTTGACTGTCCGAGAATACTTTTATTGACTTGTGTATGAGATTCTATTCTTCCAATCTCTTCGCATAGGTTCCTAGGCGGTTGATATCTCTGTCCTGGGTCTGAGACTGAAGACACCTGCACCAGAACCGACAGATGTTTTTGATGATCCATCTGTGAACCAATAACTATCTGCTCTTAATATTTCCTTCTCCGGAGGAAGCAGTACTTTATTTATAAGGCAGTTTGTTGCTGACAGTTGGTGACATAAAGTCAAGGTCATTTCTAAAATGCTGTAACTTCGTGTCAACCAACAGTCTGTTGCACTCTGCATTTAGTTGATTTGTGCAATTGGACAGTGCCAATTGTTTACACAAGTCTATTTTCCGTCCATCAGAGACGGGTACCCACACTTCTTTTCGTGGTTTCAAAGTAGATTGACCCGCAGCTACAAGGTATTTGGTATACCCAGGATGTTGTTAAAGGTTCTCTGGTATCCTTAGCTGACCTTAGACTTTCTCTGAGAGTTTTCCTTGGCCTACATATTGATTTCACTTCGCATTTCTCTAAAATTCTCCCAATCCGGTTTGGAATGCCAAAGTAACCCCATCTAGGGTTATTTATAGTAACCCCATATATTATTTTTATTATATTTATCGTTCGTTTGCAGATTTTTGAACCGAATGTGAAACTGCTCACGATCGAAGTTGGTTGTGCCCGCCCGTCAACGAGTTATGCAACCTTGATGTCTTGTCTCGTTGAAAAGTTGAGAGAGGGGGCTATAAATAAAAATCCCATAACAGTTCACGATTATAATTTCGAAAATCAGTATTGATATACATTTCCATCAGAGGGTTGTCTAGAGTATCCTGCATTCGTCTGGGGGCTATGGTGAGAGGAATTCATCAATTTGATGTTGCTGGGGTGTTTCTTTTCCGTAACGCCGCCAATGAGCACTTTATGAGCCTAAAAAAATGAAATAATTTTAGGGTAACTTAGGTTCAAAGTGGGCGGAACTAGGTTTATTACTCTGGCCCAAAACTAATAAACCTATTTATTTCAGATATTAGAGCAATCTCCAATAAATACAAATTCAAGTCAAAACTGAAAGAACATGTGAATCAAAACTATGACATATTGAAATCGGTCTATGAACTGGATTCGTAATCGTAGTTCTCTCTAGGCTATGAATTCAAACTACATCCTATTGTAGGTAATATCTTGAGTTAGTAGAACAATCCAACGTCATTGCTTCATTATGCAACAATGATACCTCATTTATATGTATGTGTTTATGTATGTATTTGTGTATATATGTGTGTATGTATGCATATGTATATATGTGTATATGCATGTATATGTGTATATATATAATTAACGTTTAAGTTGTTTATAGGTTGATACTACAACTCAAGATCTGCTTGGGTAGATCAGCCTTCAAAATTGTTTATTTTTCATTCATTGCTATACCATTATCAAAATATGTAATTACCTGAATAATTTTATTGACGGAACCGAGTAACCTGGCTAGGCTGAATAGTCCAAGACCAGAATTCAATTCCAGGCTTTCTGTTGAGTAGATTTTTTTTGCAGTCTAGTACCAACTTGGTCGTTGCTCGGTGGGAGCCAAATGCTAATGGGCTAAGAAACCAGTGGCTTTCCGCCCGAAATACGGTAGCATAGAACCTTAGGCACATTGATATATCTGCCCAGCACCTCGAGGTATTTTGATACATGTGTGAAGCAACAGTTTTCTGTTCTTGGCATTCTGTCCTATCGGAGGATCTAGTTCTGTCTGCTCAGGTCAAAAACTGTAGATTATAAGGCAGTTCGTAGTTGAGAATCATGTTGATACATACGTTTCGTTCTCATAAACCCAACCAATCTCAGTTTCTGACAATCCAAAACATCAATTTATATTTTCAAATATAAGGATTTTTTCAGCAAAAGATCTACAAGCACAAGACGAGATTGACTGTACGGAATCATTCATTCCAGAGCGATCAGGAGTATTGCTTCTGCTTTTTTTGCTCACGAAGAGTATTCAACAAGAACCCCAAGAATTCGGAGCAATCCTCTTGTTGTCCTAACGAGTATCTAGTGGACTTCAAAGACTCCAAGAAATCGGTTGGTGGGAAAGAGGATACATTCTTACGAAACTACAACTGCATGAACAATTGTTTGAGTTTGGTGAATAAGCAGAAAACATTATCGTTCTCGTTCATCGTTGAAACCTTGAAATTCTTTGTCATGAACAACACATGTAATAACACCACTTGTGATTTGTGTAGGTATACCTGTCGATAACGAATCCTAGTCGAAAATAAACATTCATGACAAAATTATACGCTGGTTTTCATGAATGCCTATCATGAATATTCATAAGTTACAAATTTTCTTTATTGTTTCGATTTCGTTTAACTTATTACAATTGATTGTGAACGAACCTTGAAATGGGAATTTAATCGCGACAAATTAAGTACGGTTTTCTGTACCGAAGTCGTTTCGAAAACGCAATTCTATAGAAAGTGTTTTATTTTGAATCTTGGGAGTTGAGTGGAACGTATACTGTCACACATTCAAAAGCTGTAGGAATATTGAAAATATTAAAATAGCTCATGAGCAGCCTTGAAACTCTCACCCACTGAACCCTTCAAACCCCAAAATCAACTTCGCAGTCATCGATAATGATTTGAAAGCTCTTTAGAATTCTTAAAATAGTACTAAATTTTGAAATATTGGTTAACAAAAACAAAAATATGCATTAGATAAAGTGAAGAAATGGCAATCAATAAAGAAAACGAAAAGAGACTTACAAAATTATATCTGTAGGGTATAACAGATTTTTTCTTCTTCTCCGTTGGACTAGATTCGCCATCGGTAACCACATTTTGGGAAGCAGCTTGTTCTTCACGATCAGGAGTCAAATCCCTAGTGTTCCTTAACCTCCTCCAGGTGTGGATTCCCTGCGATTCGGGTTGGAGATAAACGTCGACGGTGTCGGGAAAAATCTCATCAGACTGGTTGTACGATGAGGAGAGAACAAAGTCGAGTTGATCGTTAGGTATAAGATTGCTGAAAAAAATATACTTATGATTTTTTAATAATAGCGGGTTTATGCAACACAATTGCTAAGACTATGACTAAGAACTAAGAGTATGACCATCACAAATCAACCAGAGCGTTATAATGCAAACTTGAGTAAGACTTACAACTAAGAACTATACCAGCGATGTATTGGCGCAGTGGTAGCGCGCCCGACTCACGACCTTCCGGTCGTGAGTTCGATCTCAACCTCGACCAGATATTTTTCTCGAGAGAATTTATCTAGTTGAAGCTGGGATGATCCTGCAACTTTACATGGCTGATGGGCATGCGAATAGCCATGAGGCTCCCTAAGTGGCTCAGAGAGTTATTAACATTGCCTACCCAGGATACAATGCAGTCGATGCCGANATCATTTCTATATGGGTTATTGGAAAGTAAGTCTAATATTTACAATTTTATTATTCCCTAAATCTGTATTGTTGATGAGAAAACGATTATCGACGCGTCAATCTAGTCAAGATTCTATAAAAAAGTTAAACACCAAATAGTCTCAATAATTCCACGTTCAACCTATAGTGAATAAGTATTTCCAGCCAAAGATATCAGTACGGGTGCTAATAATTTCGTATCCCAACCACAGATTTTTATTTTCCTCTACGTCAGCATGTGTGGTCAGAAATCTGTGGATAACTTCACGCCAATTAAGAACTAAGTTTGACCATCACAAATCAACGAGAGCGTTATAATGCAAACTTGACTAAGACTCACAACTAACAACTATAACAGCGGTATATTGGCGCAGTGGTAGCGCACCCGACTCACGACCTTCCGGTAGTGAGTTCGATCTCAACCTCGACCAGATATTTTTCTCGAGAGAATTTATCTAGTTGAAGCTGGGATGATCCTGCAACTTCACATGGCTGATGGACATGCGAATAGCCATGAGACTCCCTAAGTGGCTCAGAGAGTTATTAACATTGCCTACCCAGGATACAATGCAGTCGATGCCGATGACACCCAAAAAAATAACTATACCTACCTAGAAAGTTAAATATGTGCCAAATTGAAATATTTGCAGTTGTCATTGACCCCAAAAATTTCAAAATGATAACTTCAAATTTATGCCAAATTTAATAGGGGAGAAAATTAATGAAATATTGTTGAAATTTCTTTTGTTTGCATGGAATTATTTTGAGTAGTATAGTAAAATATCCAATGAAGAATAATTGTGATTATATTAACATGTGCATAAACTGGGCACTTTTCTTAGGTATAGGTTTAGTTCTAAGGTATTTTTGCAGCAAGTTGAAGAAACTAGTTTCATGTTACCTACCCTATGGCCTAGATATTGATCAAGGTAGCAGAGAGTCTGCGAAAATGAATTCATAAACTTGGATTTCGATGGAGAAAGGTGAAAAATAACAGGAACACATTGATGAAACACCAGCCTATTCGAATACTTAGGATAAAATTTTTGAAGAAAATGCGGACCTATGGAGAAGAATGTCGACCAATTATTTATATGGATGAAACATAGAAAGTCTGAAAATACCTTGTCAGTGAAAAGCAACGTCTAATCATAAAACATGTTGGTGGTGAAAATGGGTTTGTATCTAATGCTTACTACATTAAATGAAAATCAAATTGTAATAAAGGTGATGCTCACAACGAAATGCATTTTGATAAAAGGGTATTGGAACAGTTGATTCCATATTTACCGTTGAGAAGCATTGTGATGATCGATTATGCACCATATTGTCATAAACAAATAAACAAAATGCCAACGATATCGACTAAAAAAGCCGTATCTAAAAAATGATATTTAAAGGATCTTATGATTTGAATGAACAAGATGGTATTGATTCGATGTATAAAAATGCAAAATGATTTTCAAAAAATAAGCTGTATATAAACTCAGCCAAAACTGAATTTCTTATCTTCCATACAAGACAAAAACAAATTGAAAATATCAACCTGACCTTAAACAACTCTAACGTGAACCGTTACACACTTTCGACTCCTTACAA